GTTGGTCACACAATTTCTAGAAGAAGCATTTCAAACACCGATGTTAATACCACCTTTCTGTCCGACGTCAACACCAGGATTTGCGAATGGAAGAACTCTCGGTAAGAGAGGTTTCCTCCCAACTTAAACGCGCTTTACATTCCTCCTTTCTCTTTATTTGCCTTCTTCCATCCAGCTCTCCTCAAATCTCCACTGTCGCCATCAGTAGCAAAAGCAAAAGGCGAAAGTGCATTTCACCGACGTAAGGCGTATGATGAGGCCCGTCGTAAAAGTTCTATTTTCATCTCTCATGTTGATCCGCGTCGGCGTCCCAGTATCACGGCATCGGCAGTTGTTGGACGGCAGCGTACTGATGCTGCCTCGTTGCGGGTCTCCAAGCGTGCCGAGGCCCGACGTCAGGTCATGGACAAAAATCGTGATGGTCTGCACCCGTAGAATTTACCCCCCTTTGATAAAACTGTTTATTTTTACATTCGATGCTTCATTATTTTGTAATACACGAATTTTGTTAATAATACGCGGCTCCACCCCTTTCCGTACTCTATTATCGGTGGTGGTGTGCATTTGTGTCATTGTCGGGACCCTGCGGTTGATTCTTCGTCTGCAAAGGAAAACTTGTGATTTGTATTTGCAGTTAAGACAGGAGCACGTGGTTACGAACACTAGGTTTCATTTTTGCGATTGTTGTTGTCACGCGATCGTCGCTTGATAATCACATCTGGAGTTTGGGTGATGGAAGGGGAGGGCGACTGGTTGACTGCTTTATGGAGACCTCTCGTAGTATGATTAATATCAAACTGACAAAAACATCTTCGGGCCAACAAGTGGAGATTGTCTGCTGTCATCAACTTACTCTGGCTTGAATACGGATAAGGATTTCGATGACTGCCAATGCGATTAGAACTGGCACTAGGAATAACACGAATGTTAGTTGACTTGTTGTGCATACACTACAAAGGAAGGCAAGGTTACTTTGGGCTCTAATGCAGACGTGACCTTACGGACTGTGCCAATCCTGAGGACAGAAGATGACTGAGACAGTCACTGATAGAACAACCCCAGCTAGCCACACCACGAAGGCGGTTTGTGATTTGGTTGTGCCGTCAGGATCCTTCCTATCGATCATTGTGGAGCTGAAATGGGTAAATTGGTTCAGAATCACCTAAATTGTTTAAGAAGCCTTCAATCGGCGTCTAGGAAGTGCCCTGGTGACAGAACGCCTCGCTCCTTTTGCTTTCTTCGAAATTTCATTTAAAGGCGCAATAAAGGCAATAAGACCTCAAATCCACAAGGAAAATGTCAAAGGAGTGGATTATACTTCGATGCCATTTTGTCTTACGAAACCAAATTAGGAGGATATGAATTCATCAACACTTGTTTAATATGCACTTAAAAATGTCGCAATAACAAGCCTCGAAATTGCCATTTATCAAGGTTAAAAAAATAACGTACAGGCAATGACATAAAAATACAAAAAACAAAGGAAATTTCGAGAAAAATAAAGAACAAACCAAAACTTAGACGAAATCAGCCGTATGCAAAATAACAAATGTTATAATAACCTCATGACATTAAAAGTATTTACACTCAAACACTGAACAAACAGTACAAAGGTCAAGTTGAAAACGGTGAAAAAAAGGTCTCAGCATGCCAAAACGCAAAGTAAATAAATTCACAAAAAAAATAGTGAAAAAAAAAACGAAGAAACAAGTATAAACTACAGAAAAGGAAGAAAACATTGCCCTAAAATGGAGGTGGTGCCGTGTGGAGGTGAGGTGGTAGCGGCGTCAATAGGTGGTGCGAGTTGGATGCTGAGTGGTGGGT